CTCTGCAGGCCAGCCCGTCTCTTCTCATTCTTTACCCTCCTTGATGATCTTTTGTTGTGAAACAATTATTCATATGCAATGGCTCCTGAACATGTATTTCCACCCTAAATCTCTTTCATCCATTCCAACTGCCTACTCTTTGTCTCCCTTTGGATGTCTTGCAAGCAAAACACACCAAAAAGAGAATTATCTCCCCCACCCCACCCTCACGCCAACCCGCTCTCCCTCTGGTGCTCTCAAATCCCCCAATGGTTTCACCATCCCATCCTACCCAGTTTAAGCCAGAAACTTTTGAATCATCTTTGTCACCTCCCTCTGCATCGACCATATCCAAATAATCACCACCTTCTTACTGACTTTAACTACAAACTCAATCTCTGCCATTAAATTTTATGCAGTGCCAATGCACCATCCCTGAGTGGCTGCAAAAGCACTGTTAGCTCACACCCATTCTCCCCCTCCCTAGGGTGGCCACGGGTGACTGCACAGCCTGTCCCTGCACAAAGTGACTGGCTGAGGGGGCTGAAGCCTTTTGCCCTGGTCCAACCGAAACAAGGTTCTACATCTTTTCTAAGTGATCCACCCAGAATGGAAGCCCTTTTCTGGTCTGCACAAAGGTACCAAATGTGCCAGCAAGATCTACCCTTCCAAGCCATTTGCTACACGACAACAGCTGCGATCATTTTAAAACCTCAAATCAGTGGTGGTGCCCACCTGCAGTCCCAACTGAGCAAGCTGAGGTGGGAGGATCACTTGGGCCTAGGAGCTCGAGGCTGCATGAGCTTGAGGTTGCCGCGAGCTATGATTGTGTCTGTGAAAAGCCACTGCACTTCAGCCTGAGCAACATAGTGACACTGCATATCAAAAAAAAAATCTCATTGGAAATTGGAGAAAAGGCACATGGGTTATGAACCGGAGGACTGTGGGGCCATAACGTGGAAAATCTACAGATTATCTCACCATATTAGGGATCTGCCTAAGCAGATTTCTGGGAAGAATGTGGAAGGTGCTACCTGCCTCCTCTCTGTCTTGGAGAAAACATGAGAGGAAGGAGATGAACTAAAGACGCATGTTCAATTTTTAAGCAGAATTTAGAGAAAACATAAAAGAGCCAGGACTTGCTAGGTTTGAAATAAAACTACTTCTAGCTGGGTGCAGTGGCACATGCCTGCAGTCCCAGCTATTCAGGAGGCTGAAGAAGGAGGATCTCTTAAGCCCAGGAGTTCGAGGCTATAGTGCAGTATGTTCCATGCACATTTATGAATGGCTCCAGCCTGGACAACATAGTGAGACCCCATTTCATTCTTTTTTTTTTTTAGAAAAACTCAAGTCAAATCATCTCATCTCCTATTTAAAACCCTTTAGTGGGTTTCCACTATCTTTACATTAAAGTTCAAAATCCTAAAAATGACCCAAGAGGTCTCACCCCCAGTCACATTTCCCCCTTGGTCTCAACCCTTTCAGCCTGGAAGCTTATCCCCTAATTCACCTGGATACTTCCTACTTATTTTTCAGGCCTCATTTTAAATATCATTTTTTAGGGAGACCTTCCCCGAACAATTGCCTTCCCCTAAACCAAGTTAGGTCCCCAGTTCACATGCTCTCCTGATGCTGTCCTTTCCTGAAGTACCACTTAGGATTGCGACAGCCTGTGTGACTGTTTACCTGTCTCCCCCTCTAGCTACAAGATTAGATGGCTCATAAAGGCAGGGAATGCTCCTTCTTGTTCACAGCTGTAGCCGCAGAGCTAGCAATTCCTGGCATCTAACAGATGCTCAGTAATAGTCATTCAACGAATGCCTGAATAAATAGGTCGTTCAGGACCCAGACACCCACTTTGGCAAAAGAAAAATTAATCATGGGAGGATTTCTTAGTAACTTTATTGTACTGATTACCAAATACATGCAGACTCTTGTATGGAAACAAAGGCATAATCAATGAAGCAGAAACTTCAGGTGCTTGGTGACAACAGCAATATTTCATTTTATGGATTCGCACTTGTGACTATAACCCTCCTCTTAGCTTTGAATAAAGAGTTTTACCAAGGCCAGTTTCATGGCCTTGGTAACCTATGCAGTCACACTGGGCCCTGTGCTTGGTTTAATTAATGCTCTACAGTCACCATCTTGAAATTCTTAAATTTTTAAACAAGAGGCTCCACAAATTATGTAGCCAGTTTTACAAATTAGTTTGATTTCTGGAAGGGGCCAATAGACAGCCAGTCTGTACCTAAGGATGCGTCTTTTATCATCAGAGATGTGTTTTGAACCTCCCTGAGCTTATTTAAGGCCTAATAAAGAGGGTTACAATTCCGAAACCTTTTTTCTTCTGATATGAGTTATATATTATGTAGAGCTCCCTTTCATAAAGTCTGGAATTCTCAGACTACAGAAACACATGGCAGTTTTAGTTTTATTGCCGTTAGCAGAAAAGAGTTTAATTTTTCCTAAACCTAAATTCTTCTCTGAATATTATTTATGCATAAGGAGTTTCAGTATTAAGATTTTTGCTTAGAACTTTTTGTTTGGGGTTCTAATATTAGAGATTGTGTCAATTTTTCCAAATACACAAGTACAGTCACCTTAAAAAAGATTGAAAGACATCAAGTATACCGAAAAGAGAAAAATGAGAACTACTATAGAATTTCCTTTTAGTTTCTAACATTTTAAACTTTACGAAATTTAACAAATGGATTGAACACTTGAAATTTCTTTGGAGATGATACCTACAGGACACATTGGCCATTCACATAGAACATGTGTTTAGTAATCTTTATAATAAAGATGTTTTCAGATGTCAGATGTTTAAATTTAGAAATAGCTTCTCTATTCATTCAAAGCTTGAAGTTAATTATGTTTAGCCTGTAGTTCAGTGCATGAACGTCGAGAGCATTTTAAACACTGTCTCGTTTTCTTCCTCAATCAGGGGTGATTTTCTTCCCCAGGGAATATTTGGCCAATATCTGGAGATACTGTGGGTTGTTATAACCGGAGGGAAGTGCTACTGGTATCTTGTGGGTAGAGGCCAGGGATGCTGCTAAACATCTTACAACGCACAGGACAGTCCTCCACAACAAAAAATTATCTGGCCAAAAATGTCAAAAATGCCAAAGTTGAGAAGCACTGGTCTAAACATACAGGGCATTTACCTGAGATAGGAAACAGGACAACACTAAGCCATGCCTCTTATGCCAAAGCCAAAAATACAAACAGGCTCCACAAAAAACACACCTGATTTATATAAACAGTCATTTGGGAACTCTCTTTTTAAGACAGGGAGTTAGGCATTTGACAACCTGACATGGAACCGTGTATACATTTCCCATCAGAATGAATATTAAAAATAGTGACAAAAGCCCTTGCCTGGCCCCGTAAAACTACTCCATGCAGCTGAAATACTACACACTTCACAGAAAACAGAATTTGACAATCAGAACAGATCACTTCCAGTAGTATTAATTTTTGCCTCCTACCACCTCATTTCATGAAAAATGTACAACATGTGCATCATAGTTCAGAATTTTCCACTCAACTGAGAATGTAATCGCCAGTATAGCTAGCTGTTTCCAGGACAGAGATTTGCAAAGGGATGGTGATGAATGAATCAAATTCGATTCTTCGTTGTTTTAAAAAAGAAAAAAAAAAATGAACCAATACTTAAAATCGGGTTTCAAATTTTTATTTATTTTTTATTTTTTCTTAGAGATGGGTTCTTGCTCTGTCACCAAGGCTGGAGTACAGTGGCACAATCATAGCTCACTGCAGCCTTGAACTCCTGGGCTCAAGCAATCCTCCTGCCTCAGCCTCCCAACTAGCTAGGACTATAGGCACATGCCAGCACACCTGGCCAGTTTTTCTGATTTTTTTGTAGGGACAAGGTCTCACTATGTTGCCCAGGCTGGTCTCCAACTCCTGGCCTCAAGAGATCCTCCTGCCTGGGCCTAGGTTTTACATTTTTTTAAAAAGTAAAAAAGATTTCAGCTACTCATGGGAAAAAATAAAGAGAAAAGGAAGAGAAAATCTGGCCACAATAGACCAGAATTCCTGCATATTTACTGAGTGGGGGTGGACAATACCCACTCAGAGTTAGCAGGTTCTTCATAGGTCACGAGGCCCCAACCAAGCACTCTTGTGTATTACCTGTTCGATCCTTGTAGATAGAGTTTATTTTGTGATCCCAGTTTTAGGGGAAAACATTTTTCTTAGTGCTAAGCAGCTAAATTACAAATGGAAAAGGACCAACTTTTGAGTCAAAGTACTGCTACACTTAATCAAGGATGAACTATAATTAATGAAGAAGGAATTCCAGTGCAAATTCTGTGCGGAGGCTAACTGAAGGATGTGCAGGGGAGGTGGCAGCAACCTTCAAACCCTCACCATGAGATGGAAAAAATATCAACCTCTTTCATCTACCCACAAAACACTTTTCAAAAGTAAATTCACAGTATGGTATATTGTATTTAAAAATAAAGGAGTTAGCCATTTCTAAGAAATCAAAGTTTCCCAAAACTACCATTTTGAGGGTCTGAAAAAAATCTGTTAAGAAAAAGCAGATATCCACACAGTCGAGTTTTCCTTCCTGCCAGAACTGAAATCTGTTACCAAATCCTCCAGCAGGGGGGCCTGTCTGGAACTGCCTAAGCTCCTAGCAGGTAATTTACACTGATCTTTAAAAACCATTAACCCCTCCTCCTCGCCTCTATAAAACAAACCTGCCTTTCAGAACAGATCTGAAAGGGGGGCAGTATGCCAAAGGAAGAGACAAGTCCCAGACCAGTCTCTCACCTCCCACTCACCAAATTCAGGCCACAAAAAGCCGTGGCTGCCTTCTCATCTCAAGGCACCAATTGCTTTCTCTAAACACCATATAGCTTCCCAATTTGCCTCTTGCCCCATTATTTGTAAAAAGATGATTCGCTGTAGAAAGAAATAACAAGGCAAAGGGTGTACAAGCAACGTTTATATCCATCTATAAAATGCCAGGTGACTACAGAACTTACCTCCCCTGGGCGACCTGTACTGCGCCGCCGGGATCTGCAGGCGATCTCATCCACTTTGGAAGATGGGAAAAGAAGTGTAACCGGCAAGGGTGCCTGTGTTTTGTTCTGCATCAAGAGAAAGCTCTGCAAGGAGAAAAGGAGCGAGGGATGAGAAAGAACTTTTTCCACTTAGAAAAGCTAATAACCAAAAATTAGAAGAATTTGACTCAGGGATTGAGTACTAAAAAAACTAAACCAAACCAAAAAAGAAATCTAGGAGGGGAGTAGAACGCGTTTAAGACGAATCACCAGTTTTGGTAACAGAACCTGCAGCGAGTTTCCTAGACCGGTGGGGGAAGAAGGAAAGCAGGAAGGGAAAGTGCTTAGAGCCCCCACGTGAGCGCCTCTCTTTTTAATCATTTGCCCCAGGCTGAGTCATTTGCTATCCTAGCGTCGGCTTCTTTACTAGTAAAACAGGGGTAAGCATGCCTCTTCGCAAGGCTGCGGTTAGGATTTAGTGAAGTTAAAGCCTCTGGCATCCAAGGGATGGCAGTAACTGTCGCTCCCTGCCCATCAACGCCCGCAGCCAACACATCGGATTTCTAAGCTCCTACACACGACGGGGACCAGCGAGAAAGAGACCAGAAAGTGACCTCCAGGTAACACCGGGCACCAGCATCCTAGCCCAGGACCCACTAGCGGATGGAAAAAGAGGGTCGACGCAGGACGCGCCGCTCCATCCGTCCCGGGCGCACTCGACCGCGCGTCCGCGCTCTCCGGCCCCGCTCCGCTTCCTCTTCCCCGGCGGAGCCCACCCTGCCCGGGCGGCGGGGGCCTGGCTGAGAGCCGGCTCCCTCCCACCCGTCCTTCCCAGCCCTTTCCGCCGCCGGGCGGCCGAGTGGGAGTTGGTTACCTGGAGTCCGGCCGGGAGGCGCGGGAGAGGGCCGGTCTGCGCGGTGCCGCTCCTCGCTCGCCGCGCACCCGCCGCGCTGAGCCCGCGGCGCCCCGGAGCCGCGCCTCCAGCCCTCGCCCCCGCGGGCCCCGCCCCCGGCCCGCCCTGGCGGCCCCGCCCACGACCCCGCCTCGCCCACCTGCGCGGGCGCGGGGCAGGGGACTTGCGGCGGTCGGGCGGCTCCCGCCGAGGTGAGGGCGCCCTCTGGGCCTGACCGCGGACTGGGAGGCGCGCTGGCATCCCGGCGCTTCCGCGCTCCTCTTGCTCCGGTTCGCTCTCGCGCTTCGTTCTCGGAAGGGCATAAGGGCTGTGCGCGGGCGGGGTCTTCCTAAAAATTTTATGCCCCCTTCTTTGAAAACAGGAAATGCCAGAAATACTGCCGTCTCTGATTTTAAACCTGAAAATATGTTATAGAAAACTACAAAAATTAAATGCCTGCGTTCTTTATGTCATGCAAAGTTTAAAGATGCCCATGTAGGTGGTTTTGTTTCCCTGATAAGCCTTGCTTACTAAATTTAGCATTTAAAATCTCATTACATTCATGTGTATTTCCACGTAGAAACTAAAGTCAAGTTAAACGGTGGAACAATCCACAGTGCCATGGAAAGCAGGAAAAAAGCCTCTTTCCTGCCCTTATAGCATATAGCTTTGTGTCAATGATGAAAATTAGCAGTCTGCTTTGTAGCAAGAGGAACATTGTGTCTTTGTCTTTCCTCTGTTGAATTTTTAGCTACTGTAAAACAGGGTCTTATTCGTCTTTACATTGTTTTAAAAAAAAACAAAAAAGAAAAACCTACTTAGGCCATTAGAATGGGATATGTTTAATACTTGTCTGATTTGTCAACAAAAATAAAGTTACATAGCATAATAGTGTAGGGGAGGGAAGACTTCCCTCTACCCTCTTAGAGTCCAATTACTAAGTCTGTGAAATAAACTGACAGCAGGTAGATTAACAGGAGAAAAGGTACAGAGATTTATTGTGTGCACCAGGCATCACCGGAAAGAAAAATGAATATTCCCTCTCCTGTTAAAAACAAACAAACAAACAAACAAACAAACAAACAAACAAAAAGATTTAGGGAGCTTGTGTACCTTGTTCATAGGGGAGAGACAATTTAGGGGACAGTAAATGATTTTGGGGAACTCCTTCAATGGCTAGTTTTGTTTAATGTCTCATGAAATTTTTCATGAGCAATTCAAGCATAATTGTTAAAAACAAGTGAATTAAGTAAATGTAAATAGAATAAAAATTTACAAATGAACTTTTCAAATATAGTTATATTTTATAAAATGTCTACTTAATATTTCAAAATGTTTTTTGTAACTTGAAATCATAAAGTTATGTTAAATTAAGTAATAGATATTCATTAAATGCCTGAGTCATTTCTAAGTAAGTTAAAATACTGAAACCATTAATTGCAGAGCATAAGTTTAATGTACAGTCAGGTGTCACTTAACAAGAATACACTCTGAGAAATGCATCATTAGGTGATTTTGTCATTATGTGGACATTCTAGATGGTACAGTAATTGTACGTGCTATGCTTTTATATGACTGGCAGCACAATATGTTTATTTACACCAGTATCATCGCAAACGTGAGTAATGCCTTGTTAAGATGTTAAGATGTCACTAGGGGCTGGTCCAATGGTAGTGGGTTATCAGAACTTATTAACATTAGTGTCACTAAAGTTGGTATTCAACTCCCCACTGCTAAATTTGACTGGCTTTAAAAAAAAAAAAAAGATGTCACTAGGCATGAGGAATTTTTCAGCTCCATTATAATGTTAGGGGACCACCATTGTCTATGTGGTCCATTGTCATTATGCAGCACCCAACTGTATATATTCTTTGGCATCTTGTTTTACATGGTATAGGGAAGCTAAATATATTTGGGTCTGACAATGAAAAACATGAAAAAATTGCATCATGTGATGATGTTTATCTACAAAATGCTGATATGTGGCCAGGTGCAGTGGCTCACACCTGTAATCCCAGCATTTTGGAAGGCCAAGGTGGGAGGATCACTTGAAGCCAGGAGTTGAAGACCAGCTTGGGCAACATAGCGAAACCCCATCACTACAAAAAATTTTAAAAATTAGCTGGGCATGGTGACACACACCTGTAGTCCCAGCTACTCAGGAGGCTGAGGCAGGAGGATTGCTTGAGCCCAGGAGTTGGAGGTTGCAGCGAGCTACAGTGATGATGCCACTGCACTCCAGCCTCCACAACAGAGCGAGACTCTGTCTTTAAAAAAAAAAAAAAAATGCTGTTATAAAACAGTTCACAATGCCAGTTTTCTCTAGAAATGAAGGTACTGGGAGTTAAAAATTCTAATTAATATATGTCATTAAAACCAGAAATAATAAGGGAAACAGCTTTGGACTTGAAGAGCTTAGATGCCCGGAGGTGGAGGGTATCTGCTAGAAAATGTCCACACAGAAGTAAGCAGAGGATAAGAGTGCCCACTATGTGGAGCATAAATTAGCCACGTCACATAAACCACGTGTTAATCCCACGTTAATCCCTTTTGTTAAGCCCTGGCCTTTTCTGTGCTTCGGAATATTCTGGGAGGATTGCTCTGGACTCTCTGTCACCTCTCCCCACCCCCAGGCCAGAGTGTTACTAGGTAAAGAAGCACCTGTACTGACAATGACATAGGTGCTAATGATATATTCCTGGAGGAAGGTAAATCTTGTCTCTTCCCCAAGGAGATTCTGCCCCCTATAACAATCTTGGAACATCTTGCTTTAATTTTATGTAGGAAAGTAATTTCCTTCTAATGCATTATATATAAGGCCTAGAACAAGAGGAACATGAGTTCCTTTTAATCTGTGGTTTGTATTTTCATCATGGAAACAAAAGTATGAACTCAAAATATTTTCTGCAAAATACTCTGAATATGCATTTTGGTCTGAACATGCAAAAAAAGCAACTTCAACTTGTTTTCTCCACCTATCGCTAATCTGTATGACTATATTTAAGAAGGGACTGAACAATATTTTTCAATTCCTTAAGTAAAGTCATTGTAAAGGCAAATATGTTGCAAAAACCCTCATAATGTATTATGAAATTAATTTTCCTCCATCCTCAGTTGACTAGTTTTTTCTTCCTGAGCTTTCATCAAGCATATTTTAAGTTTGTTTTTAATCATCAATACTTGATATGCCTAAAAGAATACACTTTTTAATTTCTAAGTGTGGTTAAAATTTGTTATTGGTACAATAGTTTGCAACTTTGAATATATATTACAAAAGCAATGCTAACTCTGTTCCCTAACAAGATTTGTACGATAATATACTTCATTACATTATGAGCATAGACGGACGTGACCATCAAACTTTAATGTATAATATTATTTTGATAGGATAAATTAATTTCAAAATCCAAACAATGGATTTATGAATTAACTTTTAGAATATATCTTGTCAGTTGGATACTACCTATATACCATAACTATGATCCACTTATTTTTAATTACTGCAATAACATACACTCATAAATCTATACACATAGTTCAAAAGGTATTTCTGGATTGCTGGGGGGTATATCACTTAGGGCTCAATCAGAAAACAGAAATCACAGCACTTTTACAGAGAATTTAAGGAGTTGCTGAAACAGGTAATGGAGGATTGACAAGGCAAAAATGGAAACATTTCAGGGATAGAGAGATAGTAGCTGCAGGTAATGGGTACAATGCACACTGTCTGGGTGATGGGCACACCTATAACTTGATTCAAACTGTACAAAAGCAATTTATATAACCAAAACGTTTGTACCCCTGTAATACCCTGAAAAAAAAAAAAGACAGCTACTTATAGAGTTCTTGGAAAATGTGAACATAAAAAGTTAACATTGGAAAATAATCATTTTCAAATCGCTCTTAGCAACTGGAGAGAAGAAATACAAGATGAAAAAAAATAAGCTTGTTATGATAACATGAACCAGGATCCTCTCTTAGGAGGAATTCTGTTTAAATATTTCATGTGCGTTGGTCATCCTCACCAAAACAGCCAAAATCGAAACCACTAACTCAATCATCAACAGGACTCCCCTTGGAATATCTGGTTTTCTGTACCTGAAGATTATCAGTTGGCTCAAAATAAAACACAATTATTCTAGAGAAGAGCTAAAA